TTAGAGGCCAAGGGCAGCTCCTAGAGACAGATGGCAGAGTGTCTGCTTTGGCGTAGGCACCGCTGACCTGTGTGTAGACAGAGCCTGCCAACTCAGCCATGCCCTTGGCAGAAGGAAGAGGGGATCAAAGCTGGCACTGTTCACAGTGAGGGCTACCGAATTGTGGAGTATTGCCACCCAGCAGGGAAGGATGACCATAAGGCCTTTTAGATGGAAGCATGTACAATACAGTGCACATGTGTCTATAAATGGACCTGCTTGTGAGGACAAGATCACTGCACATATGATTTTCTAGCAACCTGAGCCTATGTACCATCATGTAGATCATCACAACAACAACAAAACTCACAGTTTCGCTCTTCAGTATAAGAAAATTGAAGACACCTTTGTGGTAGAAACTATCCCTGTCACCTGGAGGGTAGATAGCAGCCAGCAATCAATGCCTTTTCATTGTACAGGTGAAATAGTCCATTACATCCATTTATTGTTTTTGGAAAACATACACACAAAAAGATGCATTTGAACACTTCCACAAATTCATGATTCAGAACAGTGTTTCTCAAATCAAAATAGTTATTTGAAAGAAACTCAAAGGAAAGAGCAGACCCGTCCACAATATGTCCTTGCTCGGTAGCAGTCCATAATTGTGAACTTTTGTGAATTGTCACAACCCGGGATGAATGATGGGAATATAACAGGTTGTAGAATTGGAGAATGTTAAATCTTTGTTCCGAATGGCAAAACATGTTTTTCTCATTTTCATCAGAATGTGTGATCCATGCCATTTGAAATCAAATTCCAAACACAATGAGCCATTAGTGTAATAGCTCATTACTAACAGCAGTCTTATAAATAATACATTCTTATCATGCGCATGCAGCTCGCCATGAAGCCAGCAAAAGGTATTTCAGGCCATCGAAGTTTCTTTGTGCCAGTGTGGCTGTAGATTAGAAGGACATCTCCATGTGAACCAAGATGGATGCCAATTTTCCCTGCCGAGAGGGAGGCTGGCCGTCTCTTTCTGCACATATGGTAGATGGATTGGTTAATCAGCGTCTGCTGAGTCTTGGGCCTACAATTACAGAGAAGCCAGACAACTGCAGCTACTCAGCCTTTGTTCATGAGTGCAAACAAGACAAACAATCGCTTGTTATTTGGGGAAAAAATTAAAATGTTTATTTTGGACTTTTATTAAAGTGTCAATGGCTTTGTAAAACAGCTGTGTAAATTCAGCCTTTTACAGCTAGCTAGTATCATTTTGGGGAGCCGGTAAAGAAAAGAATATGCATGGAAAAATTAATTTTTAAATCATCCCCTTATATTTTAGCATTAAAGAGAAAAATAAAGGAAATCTCACATGTATTTTTCAAACATATGTTTGAAAACAAGTGGTTTTAAACTAGAAGGCACATTTGAGAACATTAGTTTAAAACCTCATTTTTCTGTGCCATTTAAAAGACTGAGCATTATTGTAGCTTAATTTTCTGCTTTAGTAGGTTAAAACAGTGATTTTCAACTTTTTCATCTCATGGCACACATAAACTAATTACTAAAATTCTGTGGCACATCAAAAAATATACTTTTTGCTAATCTGACCAAAACTATAGGTATAATTTTGAGTGATTTACCAAAAATAATAATAGTAATTACCTACACTTTTTGCTCCAAAGTGACTTTTGAAAAAATTGGGTGCCAATACTTGTATATAAGGAGTTCTGATACCAAGAATTAACTAATCAGATGCAATCTTATTATGCAACATGACCAATAAGGTGTGATTCTATTATATGACCTATATATTTATGGTTCGGGACAGAGCATTCACAACAGTGCACTTTTGCTGTGTTGGCTGTTGTCATTTTTCTAAAAGTGCTTTTATTTATTTTAGAGAGAGAGGAAGGGAGAGGGAGAGATAGAAACATTGATTGGCTGCCTCCTGCACACTCCCTACCCGGGATCAAGCCCGCAACCAGGGTATGTGCCCAGACTGGGAATTGAACCCGTGACTTTTTGGTATACTGGTCAATACTCAGCCAACTAAGCCACACCGATCAGGGCTGTTGTCTTTTTTTTTTCTTCTTTTTTTTTCATTTGTCAATCTAAAGGAAAAGAGGTCAGTACCCCTGATTAAATAGCCAAGTATTGCATTTTTAAAAAATTCTTGCACACCAGTTGAAAATTGTGAGTTAAAATATTAATCATTTTCTCCAAATGGGCATTTATGGGATGATGCTACATTTTGGGGACTAGGGAATGCCTATGATTATTGAGTTCTACTTTTTAAGTGGAATGGTTGTCCCCCCAAATAGGCTAAACCCTTGAGGGATAAATGCTAGTTTCTATTAAGAGCTGGCAGTCAAACCAGTCAATCAGAATTTGCTTCAAACCCATGTAATAATCAGCAGGAATTATTCATGTGAAATTTATTTTTTTCCACTTTTACTGATATAATTGACATATAACATTGTATAAATTTAAGTTGTACAACATAATGATTTGATATATGTACATATTGCAAAATAATTACCACAATAAGATTAGTTAATCAAGGAACTATACATTTTCTCTCACTCTCTTTTAAAATTTTAAATGCTTATCTTATGGAGAAGAATGAAATATAGAATTATTGAATGGACATAATAAAGAATTTCAATCACAGTCATCTCTTAATGTGGAATATGATATAATTAAATTTGTTAATTTATATTTTAGTACCAGTCATAGGTGCAGATTAGCTAGTTACTCATTAAAAGATAACTTGTTTCCTCTAATCACAGCACTTCTTATAACAAATGTGTAACGTTTTCTTTCTACACCAACTAGTTCTTCAGCTCTCAAACACCACTGGGTGTCCTGCCGCTCTGTTCTGACACTACCTGGAGTCCGCACAGACCCACACATGTAGAGCTCACACCCACAAGACTGCTCCCACTTCAGACACTAGTCACAAGCCCCAGATCGCCACCTATACTCCTGACTGACTGGCGATAAATCAGGGGTTCCCACAACCCCCTCCTTGGGTTCACTAATTTAATAGTACAGCTCACAGAACTCAGGGAAATGTTTTAATTACTACTACCAGTTCATTATAAAAGTTACAACTCAGGCCCTGGCCAGTGTGGCTCGGTTGGTTGGGCGTTATCCCATTTACCGAAATGTTGCCGATTCAATTCCAGCCTGAGTTTCAGGCTCCCTCCCTGCTAGGGGCCATGCAGGAGGCAACCGATCATTGATGTTTCTCTCTCTCTCTCTCTCTCTCTCTCTCTCTCTCTCTAAATAGAAATTTTTTAAAAAATTTACAGCTCAGGAACAGTCAAAAGCAAAAGAGACATAGAGCAAGGTGTGTGTGGGGGGCGGGGGGGCGGAGAAGGGAGGCGTGAGTTTTCATGCCCTCTTTGGGCACATCAGCTCCCAGCACCTCAATGAGTTCACTAGACCAAAAACTCCTTAATCCAGTTGTTTAGGGGTTTCTATGGTGGTTCCATGAATGGTTGATTATATTATTGGCCATTGGTGATTGAACTTAATCTCTGGCCCCTCTCTCCTCCCTTGAGGTCAGGGGTGGGACTGAAAGTTCCAACCCTCAAATCACAGGTTTCGTTCTTCTGACAACTAGCCCCAATTTTCAAAGAGTCACCTTATTAGCATAAACTCAGATATCCTTGAAAAGGGCTATTATGAAAAACAAAAGATGCGCCTTTTAGGAAATTGCAAATGTTTTAGGAGCTTGCTTTTGGATCAGGGATGAAGACCAAATATAAATTTCTTATTATATCACACTATCACATTCTTAATCCTAACTGTGTCTTTCTCATCAAAGGCCTAAAATCATGGGGACCATTGTAAAAGGTTCAAACAGGTAGCTGTTATGATGCTGGAAGGTGATAGATTAGACCCATGAGTTTACTTTGCTCAGATGTTTCCACCAAACCTCTTTCCTCACATCTCCTCCCTATGAGACCATCTAAGCCAGCGGTTCTCAACCTGTGGGTCGCGACCCCTTTGGGGGTCGAACAACCCTTTCACAGGGGTCGCCTAAGACCATTGGAAAACATATATATAATTACATATTGTTTTTGTGATTAATCACTATGCTTTAATTATGTTCAATTTGTAACAATGAAAATACATCCTGCATATCAGATATTTACATTACGATTCATAACAGTAGCAAAATTACAGTTATGAAGTAGCAACGAAAATAATTTTATGGTTGGGGGTCACCACAACATGAGGAACTGTATTAAAGGGTCGCGGCATTAGGAAGGTTGAGAACCACTGATCTGAGCAAATAAATGAATTCAAGAAAATCAAAGAGTTCCTACCTGGTGAGGAGTGAGTGACCATGAACTTTCTCTGAATCGGGAGTCAATCAGATGGACACAGGAACAATGGCTGGTCTTACTGAGAACTGTGCATGGTACCAGGGAGGAGAGTGGACAGAAGGCTAGGCTTGCAGTGGGATAATGCAAAGGATATGGGGCAGGCCAGGGCACTGCCTGGGCCACGAGGGCACATATTAAGTTCCAAATAGTTTTTCTTCAAGAACTCTCTGGCAGCTTCCCTATGTTAGGTATCCATTTCTAGGATTGTTGACCATGGTCACATGTTGAACACTAGAGGCCCAGGGCACGAAATTTGTGCACGGTTAGGATCCCTAGCAGCTGCCTGCTGCCAGCTGCTGGCCGGGACCTCCCTTCCTCCTGTGGCTGCCAGCCCCGTCCCCTGGTGGAACTCCCGGTCGAACTCCCAGTCAAGGGGACAATTTGCATATTAGGCTTTTATTATTATAGAATTGTTTTGAGTGTGTTGCGTGTGCCATGCATTGTGCTGGACACTAGAGCTGCTGAAGGAAAGCACTGCTCCCTCCCTCAAATGCCTCAAAGTACTCGCCAAACTACGTTGGTCCCATCACCCACTATGCTATGGACTCATGAAAGTTTCATGCTGAGAATCCATTGGAGGTCTGATAGAGTAACCAGATATTTTGGATGTTTCAGGTGGAAGGTGTAGCTGTTGGGTTCATGAGCGTGTGCTCAAGAGTGAACATGCAGCTCCTGCATGAGTGCTTTGACTTGGGGCCCTTCCACGGATTCTGCGTCCCACATCCCGATGATGTTCTGGAGCAGCCACGAGACCTCAGCTTTCAAGAAAGTCAAGGTACAGGGGCTGTCTATCACAAGAACATGCCAGGAATTAGATCCATGCCTGTACACAACTGTGTTTTACTAAGTGACGGAACTAATTTTATAGCTCCTTCTGGAATTCTCTTTAAGGTATAGCTTCTTCCCCTGGTTAACCAAATCCTTGTGCACATATGCATGAGCTCAGATAGTCTAAATTTTAAATTTTAGTTTAGTTAAACATAGTGGCCTTGCAGTTTAAGGTTTTCTAAACTCAGGATGTCTGCCTTCAGATTGTTCATGGTGAAATAATTGGTAGTATTTAATGGTTTTACGTACACATGCAAGTGTAATTATAATGAGTGAATTTTTCAAATCACTAACTCAAGAAGTTCTATATGCCTTTAAGTTTTAATCGAACCAGTTAGTGCTTCTGTGTTTATGCCGTTAGCAAATTCTTATGTAGTGCTGGCCTATTGCAAATAGTCATTTTTAACTTATTTAATTTATTCCTACCCATCTGAAATAACAAAATCGATTTTAAAACATTGTCTGTATCAGGATTTTCATCAAGTGAAATTAGGTAATCTCAAACTTTGGTATTTTAATTTACGAACGAGATCTTACTGCATTCCTGGGTATCTTTGCAGTTAAATGTTTCGGTTCTTAAATCAGACAGGTGCAGGCAAGGTATGTTAATTCATTTCTCTACACCAGGGTTTCTTCATTTCTAAAATAGGAAAACCAGTGATACCTCCCACATAGAGGAGTTGTGAAGTTTCACTGAGATTACGCATGTCAAGGGCTTTATTCTAGTGCTCAATAAACGTTGGCAATTGTTATTTCTTTGTGATTGACCTTTCACCCACTTGAGTCTTCCCAAGTTAAAATCTGGGCATTTGGAATTGTTCCACTTTCTTGTTTCTGCAAAATTATACGTATATCAAGATTGTTAAAAAAAAAATAGAAACACACTTGGTGGTGGCAAAGTTCCTGTTAATCTAAACAATGGCACGTGCTGTCATTCCCTCGATGGGAGACCAAGTGTCTGGATGTACAGAGCTCATCTGAATGTCCACTCAGTGCAGAGAACGAGCACAACCATGGATGCAGAGGTGGTTTCCTTTTTGTACTGATGACTGCACTCTTCCCAAAAGAGATTTGAGGTCACTATTTTTTAGTAGTGAAGGCTGACTCGCCCATGCTTTTTAGCAAAGAGATGTTGGCGTGCACTGCTGGAACTTTTCAGCATGAGACAATCTTCAGTCATAAGTTATCATTGTCATTTTCATATGTATAAATTCTTATCAAAAGTGGCATTAAATAGGTTTTATAGATCAATTTTCTCATGTATAAAATGGAGATAAAAAAATAGTCTCTAACCCAAAGAATTGTTGGGAAGATTAAATGTTAGAATGTACGTGATGTACTTAACTCAGTGCCAAGTACAGAGTAAGTCCTAAAAAAATTTTAAGTTGTTTCCCCCCGTCCCCCTTTGCCTCAGTGGTTGAGTGTCAACCTATGAACCAGGAGGTCATGGCTTGATTCCTGGTTGGGGCACATGCCCAGGTTGCGAGTTCGATCCTCAGTGTGGGTCGTGAAGGAGGCAGCCGATCAATGATTCTCTCTCATCATTGATGTTTCTATTCCTCTCTCCCTCTCCCTTCCTCTCTGAGATCAGTAAAAATATTTTTAAAAAACAAGTTGAAATGACATCGTCTTTTCCAGTGTGTTCCTAAGAAGCTTTGAGGCTACTGATGATCGTGCCAGATATATGTAGAATGAATGGAAAATTCCTATTCTGCAAACTTACGGGGAGAACAAAATTTAAAATTTAGACTTAAAAACACACATAATCTAGTATATCCCTGTTTAGCAAAAGCCCTCAAAGATATGGAAGCTGAAAGAAGTTCTATTTCTCTCTATGGCCTTTAATATTTTTACTTAAAATTAGTTGGTCTCAAAAAAGGATGGTACATTAAGGAAATGAGGAAACTTGTGTTATCTTCTGTGCCTTGTTTATTTTTGAAAATCCAGTTTTGTGTTCACTGACACACAGATGATTATGAAATTTTCACCAGGGAGCACTATTGTAGCCTTCCAAATAACTCAGGGATGGATCCACAAATAATCAACAGCTCATTATGTCTAAGAAAAGAGTCATCACCACATTTGCTGCCATCTTCCTATCAACAACAAAGAATGAGGCTCCAGAGAAAATTCTATGATCTCCTGTTCATGTTTTTTCTGATGAAAGTCTCAAGTTAAAGGAAATATAATTTCTCTAAAATATGAACTAAAATTCTTGGTTCAGATGGGCATACATCATTGTGCCTTATACCTTGTATTTTGTTTAGTGCTTTTTTTCAAAGGATTTTCATAAATATCATCTCATTTTGTTCCTATAAGTTGATAGGAGAGCTAGGATAGGTGACATGGTTTCTTTTTTACACCTGCCCAAGCTCATGCCAGGCTTTAAAGCTCATCAGGGACTAACCCAGCACCCAGCTCCCGCTCTCTCTGCTTCGCAAGGTGTAACTTATGTAAGATGGCTTTGACTGAAAACTCCAGTGGGTTTTACTACACTAGATACATGATCCGTTTTTTTACTTCAGCGAGGTATTTGATTAGCACTTTAATGAGTTCACAGTGGCATATCCCTAAGATTGTCACCAGACCGGCCATATGGGGGACCGGCCCTGCCTGTCATGGTCCCAGACCTTTCACGTGTCAGGCGACCTCCAGGCTCTTGACTCATGCAGGAAAGGTTTCAATATGGAGTCGGAGTAAGAACAAAAGCAGGTTTTATTCAGGTAGAGAAAGAGAGATTCCAGGGTGCGGGTGCTGCTCTGAAAGAAGCAAGAGTGCCTGTCCAAATGGGTGCAGGCCAGCTGGAGTAAGTTGTGCACGTGGTCAGTTCCCGGGATTTTATGTGATCCCGGCTTTTAAACTTTGTGGCACCAAATTCTGTCTCCACCTTCGGGTTGGGTGGGGGTCTTGCTCCTAATATGGTCTGTTCTTGTGTTGGTCCTCCTTGGGCACCCCTTCTACTTGTGGTGTCGGTTTTCATTATAAGGCTGAGTTTTGGGGTCAGCCTCTGGTCAGTTTTTTATCTCCACCTTGGAATGACCTGACAGTAGCTCATTCCTGTTGTTGGTGACTTCTGTGACCATGGCAGGGGTGTCAAATGTGGAGGTGGGGGCTCTGATGAAAGGGCTCACTGGCCTGTGAAGCCCGTTCCTACTTCCTCCTCCCACTTGTCGGGAGTTTTCCCTAACTTCTTTCTATCCTGACTCAACACTATTGTGTGTGTGCTCTGAACAGATTCCATCTGTGGACTCTTCACCTTTGCGTCTGTGGGGTTTGGAACTGGCCGGCCACTCCCCCCTGTGCCAGAGGCAGGCCAGGACTGCCAGGAATTAACACTCCGAGCGCAGGCTCTCTTTGCCTGTCTCACATCACTGCCCCCTTACTACTATTTTCTCTGTCAGCTCCCAGATAAATGGTTGAACTGGAATCCTTGACTCCACGTCTGCTTCTCAGGGAACCCACGCCAAGACGCTGCTGTGAAAACATACACAAGTGATAGTAGTCAGGCAATAAATACTCATGCTTCTGGTGGGAGAACTGGGAGACAGGAGTTTTATACTGTTTCCCGCAGTTCCTCCACAGAGTTAGGTTCCAGCTGTCCACAGTGGTGAGCTGAGCAATGACACATACTTCACCTTCCCTTTCTCTCTTCCTCACCACCCTCCTGGTGCTTCCTGGGATCACCTCTCAAATAAACTGCTGCTTCTCACATCCTGGACTCAGGGTCATGTCTTTTCCCACCAGCTGTGAAACTTGCAATTTCACACCAGCCTGAACCCTTCCAAGCAGAGTAACGTCCCAGCTCAACCTTCCTAAGCTAATACCGTGGCTCCCCTTTAGCTATTCACACACATTCTGATCAGCCTGCTGTCCATCCTATCAGCCATATCCGAAGTTAACATTGCATTTAAAAAGTTTACTGAGCACATTCAATTTGCATTTTACTTGACTAATTTGTATATGTTTTCATTTTTAGCCATCATTTTGCATATATAACCTATCACAGACATGAAAATTTTGGTTTATAATTATTAAATCTTGGGACCAAACTGGGACCAATGGGAACAATGTCTAAGGATACAGATTTTGTCCCAGTGTAAGGAAAATCTGATAAAAGTGTATGTTTTTATTTAGTAGAGTACCTAGTATAGAAATAGCAAGTTCTCTGAATATTGGAAGAATTCATAAAGAAACACAGATGCTAAGAGTCTCTGAATACTTAGTGAACACATATCAACATAGTCCATATGCCTGGCAGTTTAGGAATATATTCCTTCAGTGACAATACAATGGCTCAAAATATTTTTTTTCCAGTTGGCCCCACCACTGGCTCTGCCCAGCCTTTGCAAATCAAGCTGTGTCTTGTTCACTGTATCGCACAATAAAGACTTTGGAATCAGAATTGAGCTAGCAATTTTCTTGATAATGCATAAGGCAAAATAGGTCACAGCCTGTGTGTTTCCACAGCTGTATTGGCATTGCCACATTTTCTACTTAAAAAAAAAATAGAAACAAGCAAGAAGCAAAACTTTTGTTTGTCATGTATGACCTGGGGAGCAAGGATCTGTTTTAAATGAGGCCTGCAAGGTTCAGATCTGTGAATCTCAACATACCACTGGGGCCTAGCATACAGGGTCTCTGTGGAACATAATGTGCCATTGGCGGGGAGAAATATAATTTTATGTAACAGAATGGTGGTATTTCAAAAGAATAACCAATATAGCCCCTCACGATTATAACCAACTCACCTAGGAAAAGTACTGCTTACTATACATTTAGAAGATCCTTCAAAATATAATTTTTATAACAAATCTACATAAAACATAGCCATGCTGCCTTTTAAATTAAAAAAAAAATAACTCTTTGTCATGAAATGTTTCTTTGTGTCTTAAATTTATTTTCATCAAACTTACATTTGCTTCTGACCTCAGATTCTCTCCTCTGTAG